CAAGTCAGTCTGCATTCGATCCCAAGACAAAGTGACCAAGGTCCAAAACCTGATCACATTTTATGGTTGAAACTTGTTTATTTATGCTTAATAATAGTTGTAGTTTGATATAACAAGTTAAGACACTGTTTATTAGTAAGTGCTACGGATCCCAAATAGCTAGGAGAAATAAAACATGCATGCCAAACAACAACATGGGTGCGATTCAGCCCTTTGCCGCACGTCATCCCCCTTCTCTCTCCCCTTTTCACACTTAACGTACTGTTCTGGCAACAAAAGTATGTGGTTAGCTTTAGGAAAAAAGAACAGGGTTTGGCTTTGTAATCTTACAGGACGCGAACACCGCTCTCCTGAGTGAAAGTTGTTGTTGGACCCATTCACCACCCCTCCCACCCACCCCCACTCGGACTTTCGTCACCCTAACTTTCGTGCACGTCCCTCCATGTTTCCTCTTGATGCCACCGAGCTCCATTAAACTATAATGGCAACCAGCCGTAATCATGCCGACATTAAAGGAATACTCCGCAGTTTGGGAGTTATGCCCTTACTCTATCATTTTCATATTGAGACAACATGATCAATATCTTTTTTGTGTCTGTACGTCCAGTGGCTGGGTCTCAGCGGTTAGCATTGCGGCTTAGCTTAGTGAATACAATTGAAGTCTATAGGGGGTCAGTAGCCTACTCTGTAAAAGCGAACAAAAAAACATTACAGAAACCTTGAAGCTGGTATTTCTACACGTGCATTTAAAATAAACATGTTTTAACATTAATTAGAAAAAACGAGAGTCCTTTTTAGTTGTTTTAGAAGAAGTTTGATACACAGAACTATAGGTCACAGGTCCACCTCAAAACGCTGGTCTGCAGCTCACATCCTGCAGGCTATGGTGCAATTCAACCACTCCCCAAACTTAAAGCTGGATAAGGTTTTATTACCATCATCTGTCAATACCATGTATCAGCTAAGGCCTATCAAAAACCAAAAACATAATCTTACCAAAAAAGTATAATCCAAGCACATGTCTAATTGCATTGACATCTATGATCTTTGGTTTTCTATCCCTCCCAAAAGGGGCGCAGCATTTTGCAACAAACCAGTATATGCCCTACTGTACTAAGTCAGCAGTTTGCTTATTCGAAAATATCAAGGAAGTAGGTGTTTAATAATGTACGGCTGTATCGCTATACAGGCCTGCCCATTTTAAACTAATTAAATACAGTCATGAAAGTGGTGTAAAATATTGCAGGAAAGTAATGGAAAAGTTTTGAAAGTTCATTAGTAATAATGTGTGGGAACCCTGGAGTGAGAACATGTCTTACATACTGTTGTTACAGTTTGTAAAAAAGTAATTGTTAGGTGCAGCTCTGAAGGTGTGGTACACCATGCATGCCTAAATACCTGTACTTGTCGTAGCCAAGACAAACAGTACAACAGTTTGTAATTTTCTCCACAGAACAGTACTGGAGGTCGCTGTAAGTCTGATGGCAGACAGAAGTATCAAATTACAACATTATATGATACAAACGTGCCCTAATTGGCACATGAAAAAGCATGTATTGCACGTCAGAATCAATTCATCCTCATATAATTACTCTGCCTTCTCAGCATGCCAAGTTTCAAGAGAGTAAACTCCCATCTCAAGGTTGGTTCTCACAGAGGAAACAAGCTTGTGAACATTCCACTTCATGTGCTGACTAGAAAGTTTGAAATATCGCGTGTCATATCATGTGAGATCAAATACAATCCTGGACCAGATTTGTGGGTGCCACCTTCTTTAAGGAAAGGTTACAAGCTTTTGTTTCATAATCCAGTGTCATTCGGTGTGAAGTTATGATGTGCTGTAAACTGAGATTGTCAGTTTTGCTGAAAAGGTTAAAAATGTCGTAGAACGAGGCCCTCACTGTGACACATCAGTATTGTTTTTGCAGCACGGATTTCTCCTCATATAGCTACCGTATATGCAGACAAAATCTGTACATTCATGTTTTACAGTGTCTCTATAAAGATAATCATGTTATTTACAATTCTACATTAAATGCTATGTGCTTCAAGTTGTGGATACCAAAATCTCTTGTGCAGCAGTGCAGAAGTCTTGCAGAACAGCGCTGACAAGACACTTGTTCAAGGCTTCCATGTTCGATGTGGTAGCCATGAGATCAGTTATTATCATTCACTAAATCTCAACACATTCTCACTGCGACCTCGTCACATACCGACGTTTGATCATGGACTTTCCACGTCCACATATGACGTACAAGGTACCCTGGGTGCAATGGTTGTTGACATTCTGGGACGCTGTGTCAACTTCAGCCTGTTACATGCATTGTCTGTTTTCAAAATACACTTCTGTTTTCACAGGAAATTTAAAGTTTACATACAGTCTCTTTCAAAATAAATGCACTACAGTAAGTAAAATACCACAAATTGACATTTATTTGCCTTGAACCAGAAATGCATGTGGTTGGGTTTAGAAAAAAAGGACAGGGTTTGGCTTTATAATCTTATAGAACTTATAGGACCTATCCACCACCACTCCTGACTGCCACACTCAGACTTTTGGTGCCCTTACTTTTGTTCGCGCTTTCCTATTACACCACCGGGCGCCATTAAACTGTAATGGTGACCGGCCACGTATCCAACGTTAAAGGACGGCTTTTTCATCAGTGTCTGACGCTGCTAGTCGTTGCCCAAGTGCCAGATTTCAACGACTTCGGAGTGAGACCGAGTTGTACGTTTTGGTGAAGTGTTGGAGCTGCTGTCAAATGTGTCTTGTCTCAGGTCCACGTCAAAACAGTGGTCTGCAGCTCACATCCTGCAGGCTATGGTGCAATTCAACCACTCCCCAGACTTAAAGCTGGATAAGGTTTTATTACCATCGAGGATCACCGTCATGTCTGTTACTATAAACGTGCTGCAGCTCAGAAATGATGCCAATTAAAAAACACACATGAAAAAACAAGACAAACACATCAATAGAAACATGGTGCAAAAACAAAAAGATGTGCTGCAGAAAGCCAGGACAAAAGCATTAACAGCAAACATGCTGCAAATACAGAAATGATGCAAAGTTGAAAACACGCCATCCCTAAAAACAAATGCTGCAGAAGACGCAGCATATCCAGTAAACACAGCAGAACTTCTACAGGCCTCCAGGGGGAACGTTCAGTGGAGCTTGATTTTTTTACCTGAGAAAAACAAGAAAATGGATGTATAAAGAGAACTGGATACAGCGTTGAGGGCAGGCCCCCACTCAAGTTGCTCCGTGGCACAGGAAGCCATAAAAGATTCATTTCCGTAGTATGAAATTACCTGGATCTTCCACATTGTGGGGCCCATAGAGCGAGAACACTAAAGGTTCACGGCAGCTGATTGCAGTCAAGCAGCTAACTTGAAGGGAACCAGTGAAGGAAAGCAGGGAAACTTTGGTGATATTCAACCAGCTGTGTGTCATCACTGTGTGTGCAAATGAACAGTGTTTGGCTTCCCCCAGAGCTCCCTGTCAAACCCTGTTTATCTGCGCCCTCTGCGATGATGCATAGCAAGTTCAAAATCAAAGTTTCCCTTTATTTTTGTCGTCTTCTGTCTCCATCAGCAGTAATGTGATTCTCTTACTCTGTGATCTGCAGGCTAGAAAACTCTCTTATCTCTCATCTTATAAACCTGTTTACAGTGCTGAGTGAGTTTCTTTCTGAAATCACTTTTTTGTTTTTCCCAAAAAAAAATTAACGTGAAAATAATTTATTATATTTCTACAAGGAGTGCAGTTAGTGCCAGCATGGGCTCAGTGCTAGCTCTGACAGCTTGACGGACCGTCACAAAGGGGCGGGGCTTAGCAAAGGGTTAATCAGCATCGTTTCTGAAGCTGTGACCAAAGGCATTACAGTAATCAGAGCAAAGCATGCCAAGTGCTCCATAGTCATCAAAATGTAACAAATGTAAAGAGTTTGTGTGTAGAGTAGATGGCCGTGTTGCACACTCAGTTCATGGTTTGGAGATTGTTGTGTATGACATAAATCTACAGTGGTAACCTCCCCTCCCAATTAACTGACACAAACCAGACCTGCCAGGTCTGAAAACACCCTTACTGTTCTCAGCGCCAGCTGACACATACGGGCCTGCCACGACACTGTAACTCCATAAGCAGCCCCAGGACAGCTTCATTGAGAAAGGGGGGTGGCATGCGGCAAACGACTGTGGGTTGGAATCGTACCTGCGGCAGTTGTGGCAAGGAAACAGCTACTGGACGCCCCAAACGCTCCCAGATTACATTCACCAAACCTGCTCTTTTAAATGCCCCATATGTTCTGTTCTTTGCTGCAGATATTCAAAACTCTATTCTCTCTGTCTGTTTAACGTGGTCCTGCTTATTGGCAAATGTACCTGACAGACTTTGACACAGTTATGAGCACAACACAACTAATTTTGGGTTGTGTCCACTTTTGGTGAAACGCCTGTAAGCATATAGAGGAAACTTTAACGTCTTTAGGAATCTCTGCCAAAATGCTTACGTGCAATGTATTTACATGCATACGTTTAAACATGTGCAGGGTCAACTTTACAACAGCTGCTCAGGATGTGTTTTGCAAATCCAGTGAGGTTTTACCAAGTTAATCTTTAGTTCTAAATGTAGCAAATATTTATCCATCTTGCAAGATGATGAAATTGGTAGATCAATGGGTGTTCAGGTCCTCACCCATACCCTGCCACTCCTCCAACCACCCACACCTCTCAGAAATTTTAATCAAGTAAAAATGTCTTTGCCAGCATGCCTTTCCTCCCCTCCCACCCCTGGCTCCGGTGCCACTCCTCTGCCAGCACCTGGGTGTGTCAAGCCGCGATCACTTTACAGGGGTGGCACTGTTACCTGTCTGACAGGCTGAGGTGCTCCAAGCCAATCTACCTGCCTGCAGAGGAGGTGGAGCTCACGGGAACCTCCTCCTCAGTCAAAGGCAGATAAAAATCCCTCACGGACAGGGAGAAGATACTTAGAGGGACTCTCCTCTTAGTGCACTCTTCTGCTCTGCCAAAGCTCTCTCTGCTCCTTTTCTCTGTTAATCCTTCTCTTTCAGAGGAAACAAAACTAACCATGAATCGTAGATTAGGAGGAGGAAGTTATATGAGTGTTAGCAGCACCAGCAGTGGTTTTGCTGGTGGTGGTGGCGGCGGTGGTGGTAGTCGCCAATATGCAAGATCTCTCCAGCTGTCCTCCAGTGGACCTAGAATGTCATCTGCCTCGATGATGTTACCTTATGGTGGTCAGGTTTTTTACGGCAGGGGTCAGGGCAGTGGTGGTTATAGCGGTGGTGGCGGTAGTTACAGCCGTGTTTCTCTCATTGGATCTAGTATTGGTGGCGGAGGTGGCGGAGGTGGCGGAGGTGGCGGAGGTGGAAGTATGCGATTCTCAGGAGGTATGGGTGGTATGGGTGGTATGGGTGGTATGGGTGGGCAAATCACGAATGTAACAGTCAACCAGAACCTACTGGCCCCCGTGCCCATTAATATCGACCCCACCATCCAGACTGTCAGAACCCAAGAGAAAGAACAGATCAAGACTCTAAACAACCGCTTCGCACAGCTCATTGACCGGGTGAGTAGCTCTTTTCTATATTCTCATGTCCCACACCATCTCAGTGTGTGAGTGCTATTTATGTAAGAGCTGTGATGTCATTAAACAATAGATGTTGATATGAATGACCTGGGGAACAAACAATATCGGGAAGAGATAGAAGATACAGTGCAGACAGTAGAGTTTGTTGGTGTGTGCAAGCGTGAATGGCTGCAACAGACCTGCTTGGGCACTGTCTTTGAAACTGTAGGCTATATTTGCAAAACTCTGCACACTTACCACAAAACAGCACAGCAGCAAAACATTATGCTTTTTTAAATTCCTGCAAAACTGTTCAAACTCATTTAAAAACAGTCATTTTTGCATGAACACTTTTTCTGTGTTCGCAGGCTGCAATGAAGGTGTCACACATGTAGTAAACACACATACACACAGGTATCTAAATGTGTAAAGTGTGGATGTGAATTCCAAACACAGCACACTATCAATACAAATGACTTCAAATTTCTTCTCTCAAAATATTCTAACAACCAAAAACGAATGTGCAGCATGAGAAAAGAAAAACATCTATGTTAGGAAAAGGCTTAATCTCGCCTTTGTTGTGGGTCTGGCCAGAAGACTTCATCCACACCACTCTGTCCAGATGTTTACCTGTTGCCTTTTAATAGTGCACAAGCTCAGATTTGTGAGTGAACACATTATCTAAGTGGGTTTTCATGTGCCAGTGTGGAAAGGCAATTAGCAAAGTACTGGAGCAAAGCAGAGACCAGTGTTTAGAGTTATGAGATGTGTAAACTGAGTGTGAAGCAGCAAGTTGTGCAATAAGCAGAGTGTAAAGCGAAGAACATCCATTCAGTTTGACACACTTGGTAAATGCACTGGCTACAAGTGTGACTGGTTTCAGAGCAGGCTGCTCTCACTTGTTATGATCCATCTACGTCGACTGTGAGGGCAGCTTGTTCCGATCCATACTTATATTTATTGCAAGGCAGTGCCCTCTAGTGGCTGTAGTAATCATTACAGGGAGGTGGAGGTTGACTGACTTTGTTTTAAAGGCCACAAAGTCCGTGTAATATATAGACAAGTGTATCAAGACTTGACTTTGAGAGGGCGTGGCAACTGTTAATCATTTTTTAATTTCAGTCAGAAACCAATTCCACCAATACACCGCCTGATTTAGTTGTCAGTCGGGACACAGCAGGCTAACAATCAATATTCGTAAGGTTGTTATTGTAAAAATAATGTTGTAGCCTAAGGTTTGCAACTGACCCTTTGCTAAGTCCCACCCCTTGAACGCAGACTGGCCAATCACAGCGTAGCATCAGCCAGCTCCGATGAGGGGTTCAACAGCAACACGGTTGTGCTCCATAAACTCTCATGCAATCGATTCAGATTTCCTTCGTTTTCAGTCTGGTTTTATGGATTTTGAGCTCAACACTGTGCCTATCAATTCTTCTTCTTCTTCTTCTTCTTCTTCTTCTTCTTCTTCTTCTCAATATTATTATTACAAGCAAAGTTTGATACATTTTCTTGCTGTGGCCTTTATAAAATGAGCAGTGGTGAAAGTTCCTAAGATGTTATGATCAAGGGGCTGATAAGCTGACAGCGTTAGCTAGCATAGCATAGCTAGCTAGCTGATAAGTTGTCTACTTCAGTTTTAAACATGCAAGTGCAAACCCAAGGCTAACATTATTTCTACGATAACGGTCTAACAAATATTGACTGTTAGCTTTGGTTGAATTGAATTAAGCATGAAGTAATAACGTTAAAATCTGCAGAGCAATAAAAATCCCAGCGTGTGAGATGAATTCCCCCCTTACAATATTTTATTCACTGAATTAAAAACTGATGGACAACTGCATCAGGCGTCGTGTTGGTGGAATACGCACAAGTTAATAATCACCGATGCTGACGAGCACATAGATGATGAAAGATGTGGACTATTTCTAGTCTTTAATGTTGTCCTATTATTTAATTAATTACATGATCAGATTAATGTGGTTTTGTAGTCATATTCAAAAGAATACCATGCCCCAACTGAGACTGGATCAAAGCATGACGAATGATTTTCTCTTTTAGGTCCGCTTCCTGGAGCAGCAGAACAAAATGCTGGAGACCAAGTGGAGCCTAATGCAGGATCAAACCACCACCCGCTCCAACATTGACGCCATGTTTGAGGCCTACATCAGCAACCTGCGCAGGCAGCTGGACGGGCTCGGCAATGAGAAGGTGAAGCTGGAGGGAGAGCTGAAGAACATGCAGGGAATGGTGGAGGACTTCAAGAAGAAGTGAGTTAATATGAGCACAGGAAACCAAGCGTGTCACATCTTTGAACACAAAAGCTACAGATCCAGTCGTTGATGACCACAGTCATTTTCCATCATCTAATTCTTCAACTGTTTGTGTGTCAGGTACGAAGATGAAATCAACAAGCGTGCTGCTGCAGAGAATGATTTTGTGCTCCTGAAGAAGGTGAGAGTTTATCTGCAGTTAGAGAGCTTGTCACTCCACCATGTCAAGAACAAAAGTGGAATGAGTTATTGTTTTTTCCTCTGACCTCTTGGCAATGCGGACCATTTCCTTCGTCTCTACTCACAGGATGTAGATGCGGCCTACATGACCAAGATTGAGCTGGAAGCCAAGGCTGATGCCCTCCAGGATGAGATTAACTTCCTCAGAACTGTCTATGAGGCGGTAAGAATAATGAGCCACTCCTCATTCCTATCAAAAAGGCTTCTTTGCTCTCATTTCTAGGGAAACACTTCTGAAATGATCCAACAGTAAAGGGGGAATCACTCTTCCAATTCTCCCCTTCCCTACCATCGACTCATTTTTGTCTTTTTTAGGGGTCTTTAGGGGGCGATAGCAGGATAACAGTGTATGCCACATAGAAGTGGTATACATCATCTGGAAGCTGGAAACCTGAAGGCTAATTTGAGCTCAGCACTGTGTTTCAGTAGTGTTTTTATGCTGCTGTGCCAGCAATAGCTCTGACTAGAGACATTATGTTTTCGTGCTGTTCGTGCGTACTTACGTCTCATTCTCATTAACGCGTTATCTCAAGAATGCCGTGAGAGAATTATTTCAAATTTGGCACAAACACTTGGGCTCAGCAATGAACTGATTAGATTTTGATGGTAAAAAGTCAGAATTCGCTGTGGTCACTGTGACCTGGTCCACCCCATTCTCGTGAACCCAATAACCCAGGCCCAAACATCTTCTTGGACTCAACAATGAAGTGATTAGATTTTGGCGGTCAATGGTCAAGGTCACTGGGACCTTGTCAACGTCAAGAGGGCCTTGAGGGAATTTCCTCAAACATCCACTTTGACTTAAGGATGATCAGATAAGGTTTCAACAGTCAATGGTCACTGTGATCTCACAAAACACGTCAAAACTAAAGGATATGCTAGTTATGAAAAAATGTCACAACAACATCCGTATTTGAAGCATTGTCAATTGCCAAAGTTACAAATGAGTCTGGACAGACATGGATGTAAAGTGCAACTTGACTGGTTTGTGGAAGTGTACAACCTTGAGGTGGTAATTCAAGTTCTTGTCATGCATTTTCAGGCTTTATACCATTTGTTACACAGATTCGGTGCTAAATGTAAGCATTTTTGACCACTTGAGAACTAATAAAAAAATGACCAGACTCCCTCCAAAAAACCACATTGAGACACCAAGACCATAGAAAAATCTGTGCTGTAATTTGATATCAAAAACTTTCAAAGATTTCTATAGAATTGCATTTGCATCATCGACAATTGGATGGCAAGCACTTCAGTTCTGGAAACATCTGAAAAACCCCATTATTGTCAATATACCTATGAAAGCCATCCATCCTCTGAATGCTCGACGTCTCTACTTTGTGGCTACAAAGAGACTAGCATAAAGTGGGCTGGTCAGTAAAGGGGAAAGTTAAATGGACCCCTGTGCATATCGCATTGCCAGGTTACGCCTTGTCAAAATATAGCCTTAATTTGGAGTGTTGTTTAACCCTCTTCCCGACAAGAATGCATGACACGGTTGGTACCAATGGATTCCTCAGGTCTTCTAGTTTAGTCTTTACCTTTAAAACTGAACACACAGCAGCCTCTGAAAGACTGTTGGCCGAGGACACCAGCGTCCCTAGGAGGGTGGAAGAGGGCAAAGATTCAGTATAAGAATAGTTACTGTAACACCTTTACTCTTTAACTCTTTCAGTTTCATTTTTAAAAATGACATATCTCTATTGTGCAGGAACTGGCTGAGCTCCAGGGACAGATCAAGGACACCTCAGTCATTTTGTCGATAGACAACAGCCGAAACCTGGACATGAGCGCCATTGTGGCTGAGGTCAAGGCTCAGTATCAGGAGATGGCAGACCGCAGCCGTGCCGAGACTGAGGAATGGTACACACAGAAGGTAGGCAGGAAGAGAAATCAATCTCACCAACAACTCCAATATGAAGGTCTACCAAAATCTGCAATAAGAATGATTTTTTATCCCATTCCTTCAGTATGCGGCTATGGAAGCCAGTGCAGGTCAGGCTGGAGATGACCTTCGCAGCACCAAGAGTGAGATTGCTGATCTTACCCGCATGATTAACCGCCTTCAGAGTGAGATTGAGGCAGTCAAGGGACAGGTAAGCTCACAGTTACATTTATCTGTACACAAGTAGTGTGTGTATAATATCAGTTACACTGGTAGATTTCTTAAAAACCAGGTGCTGAACATGTAGAAGGCGTTTTAATAACAAATACCACTTCTGAAGCCTCTGCTAAATTTACAAACTCTCAGCGTGCCAACCTGGAGGCCCAGATCGCTGAGGCTGAGGAGCGCGGTGAGCTGGCTGTGAAAGACGCCAAGGCCCGCATTAGGGACCTGGAAGAGGCTCTGCAGAAAGCCAAACAGGACATGGCCCGCCAGGTCCGCGAGTACCAGGAGCTCATGAACGTCAAGCTGGCTCTGGACATTGAGATTGCCACCTACAGGAAGCTTCTGGAGGGAGAGGAAGACAGGTAAAAGCTTAGTTACTTTGGGTTCACATGACATTTAATCTTCTGAAACACTAGTCAGATGTCATTTAAAAACAACCGCAGCTGACCAGAGTGCTGAACAGGCATAAAATAGCAAAACAGACGAATACAGAATCAAATTGCAGCACAACAGAAGATTAAATAAATTCAGGTGTCAAGCTCAAATCAATTGTACACCAAAGAGAAGAGGTGGACCATCAGCAGTGGCTTAAATGTTCCTGTAGTTGGAGCAGTTTTTACTTGAATTGCTAAGTTGTTCTAGACTTCAGGGGCAGCCACCACAAAGGCTTGACCACCACTGTTTTTGTGCCTACCTCTGGGAACGTCTGATCAGTCGACCTCAGTGCTCTAACCTGAGAATGAAGATACAAAAGTTTTGCTACATAAGCAGGCACCAGCCATTTAAAAAGAAGCAATAAAAACTTAAAATCAATTCTAAAATGGACAATAAGCCAATGGAGGTGGGCCAGTACTGGTGTTTTATGATCCTGTTCTCTATTTCTCGATCGACACCCATATTCAAAAAATTACAGTAGTCAAGTCGAGAGGTGATAAAAGCATCAATAGCTCTCTTGAGATCTTTGGGTGAGAGATTGTCCTTTACTTTGGCTAAAAGTCGTAACTGGAAAAAGCTAGTTTTGATCACTGAACTAATTTATCGAATGTGAAAGAGCTGTCAAAAATCACACAAAGATATTTAACAAGAGGTCGACTGTGAGATGCTAAAGGACTGAGAAAACCAACGGAGTCATCCAACAGGTTGGGTCGTCCCAACTTAATCTTATTTCCTTTAAGATTAAGAAAGTGTAAATTCATCCATGTTCTGCTGTATAAACATTTCAGCAAAGGCTGCAGAGAATCTTCATGTTTTCATAGGCACCAAGGGATTGCATTGCATCACATTGTACATGTTGCCACATCAGCAGCTAAAATTGCTCATCTGTGTACCTTTTTGCAGAATTGCCGGTGGTGGTGCACAGGCAACCGTTTTCATTCAGAGCCAAAGCAGCGGCTTCAGTACGTATTGACATAAATCTGTGCAATTTAAGTGTTTTCTACGCACGTTCTTGAAAATATAAAAGATGAACATGAGAGAACCTTCAGTGAAGCTATCTGTTTGGTTTATAAGTTTTGATGGAAAGTCAGAATCCTGCCATTGCATTTAAAAACATCTTTTTCTCATCACCAGGTGGTGGTGGAGGCGGAGGCGGAGGCGGAGGCGGAGGCGGAGGCGGAGGCGGCGGCTATGGCGGCTATGGCGGCTATGGCGGTGGCGGCGGCTATGGCGGTGGCGGCAGCTATGTCAGTGGCGGCTATGGCGGTGGCGGCAGCGGCAGCAGCCTAAGACTCAGCACTGGTGGAAGTGGTGGTGGTGGCGGCACAGTCATCACAAGATCAACCACCAGCAGCAGCAGCAGGTCTTCCCGCAACTTTTAAAAACAACAGTTGTCCTTTTCTCCATTCTCCTTTTTCCCTCATTTTGGTCTCCTCCTCTTATCCCTCCCCTCTGCCTGACAACCACTAAAAGCTTCCCCCATCACTTCTCTCCCTGGAGACACATCAGCCTCAGAAACATTAGCCTTTAACCATTTTCAGCGAGCAGATCCATATAATGGTACGGCTCTCTTTGGGCATTTAGTTATTGTGTTGCTGCTCCCTTTTTGGCACCGCATACCTACAGAGAGTCAGAGATTACATCAAAATACAAGTAGAGGCAGAGAAGTTATTAGATCAGAAACAAAGAGCAGCAGAGATATGAATCACTCCTCTCTTCCTTTGATCAGTCAGACTGGCTGTCTTTTGCCTGCTGGATCTGCCGTCATGCAGACAAGTGGATAGCCGACTTGTAGTGTCATGACAGAAAGTCCTTACATGGCAACAGTCGTTGCACACAAAATGCCGATAGCAGTTCTCAGATTAGTTCAGAAGGAGGAGCGAATGTTGTGGTTGGTTTTGAATTTATAAAGCAAACACGGCATCCTTTCTGCAACGTCTCCTCTGTTGTCTGTCATTCTGTTGTGCATTTTGACATCATCAAAGGAACATGTACCACTGTCCTGAATTTTGGGATCCTCTTTTTCTTCTCCTGCTCTGAGAGAAAATGGTGTTTTGATCCTGCTTTACTTCCATTTCCACACTGAATAAAAAAATAAACCGGGGCAATCAGATTTTTTGTGAATTTGTACCACCGAAACATCTGGAATAAATCTGATCTCATATTCATTTTTCTGGCAGTTCTGTGTCTTCTTATTGATTAGTATTGTTTTTTTGTATTGAACTTTTAAACAGTGCAAATGATTTGAGCAATATAATAATAAACTTGGTCCTGGCTGCACCACTGGCGTTCCAATAATGACAATAAAGCCCACCATTGAGTGTAAAATTACATTTATACAACAACAGAATAAAAGCCTTTTTGCCAGTGTTATCTGACTAATAACTGGAAAACACTCACGTCAATAGACTCGTATGTAATGAAACCTCGCTCACAAATTGAGTTTACTAACTAGAGTTTAAAGATCAGATCAGTTCAAATCAGATCTGATCATTTTCATCACAGATAATAGTTTTTTAAATAGGCATAAAAGTTGCTTTATTTATTGTTCATTAGAAAACTACAGAACAGCCTCAGATCAAGAACTATTTATTTTCAGAACAAGTTTTGCACAGACTACATGTTTCAGAATCAACATAATTGTTCTTTATATTGATTTGTTTTTACTTAAAAAAAAAAATTTCATAATCACAAGGCTTTTTTTCACGACCTATTGTTTTAAATTATCATGAAAACTTAGACACAGTCTCTTCACTCTGACTACACATGCTCCCAAACAAAAGCAGATCACTAATTATTACGCAGAATGAGATTATCAGAGCTCATCAGAGGTGGAATAAGAAGTCATTCTGAAACAATAATAATTAGCCACATGCTTCTGTAAAGGCCTTTTGGAGCAATGTGCGTTTGTCGTTAAGGATAGCGTAAAAATGTAGGTGTTAAAAAAGCCCAGTGATCACACACATAAAAAACATTGCAGTGTTTAAATTTATTTTTTTAAAACTTAATTAGTCTATTGGGTTTTAAGAGCAAAGTGTTGTCGTTTTTATTTTTGAAGCGTAGATACAAAGTCCAGGAGTAAAAAGCTAATGTTGGGTTATAATCTAACTACACCACGGCTGCACGACTTCAACGACGACACTCAGTAAACTCACTTAGCCACTAGTTAGCGACAGCCTTTCAGGACTCCTGACAGTGTTTGGCTTTACGTTGTAGAACAAAACATGAAAGTCTCAAGTCATTATTTTTAAGCTGCAGAGTTTTGAATGAGCTGGAGGCCGGTAAAAAGTATATCACAGTAGTCGACTCGGCTTGAAATAAAGGCATGAATCAAATGATGATAAATTGTCAGTAAATACGGACGTGATTGAAATGAATGCTAATGCTGCAAACATGCAGCTGTTTGCTAACTAGTTTGCCGTATTATATTAACCTTATAAGGTGATAATACACCATCCATCCATTTTCTAACGGCTTCATCCTCATGAGGGTCGCGGGGGGGCTGGAGCCTATCCCAGCTGACATTGGGCGAGAGGCAGGGTACACCCTGGACAGGTTGCCAGACTATCGCAGGGCTGACACATAGAGACAGACAACCATTCACACTCACATTCACACCTACGGACAATTTAGATTTAGAGTTAACCTATCCCCAATCTGCATGTCTTTGGACTGTGGGAGGAAGCCGGAGTGCCCGGAGAGAACCCACGCTGACACGGGGAGAACATGCAAACTCTGCACAGACAGGCTCCCACACCTGGGATCAAACCGGGAACCCTCTTGCTGTGACAGGCGACAGTGCTAACCACCACACCACCATGCTGCCCAATTAGCCAAAACATTAAAACCATTGACAGGTGAAGTGAACAACATTGATCATCTTGTTACAATGCAATGTTCTATTGGGAAACATTGGGCTCTGTCATTCATGTAGATGCCACCTGACATGCTTCACCCACCTGAACACCCGTGCAGACCAGGTACAGGTAGACCAGGTAGACAACGGCACTCCTCAGTAGCAGTGGCCCCCCAACAGGACAATATGCCACACTTAGCCACAAAAAAGAGCTCAAGGCATCAACCTGGCCTCCAAATTCCCCAGATCCCAATCTGATCAAACATCTGTAAGATGTGCTGGCACAACACCTCACAACCTACAGGACTCAAAAGATCTGAAAATAACGCCCTGATGGCAGACACTAAAGGACACTCCCAGAGATCCTGTGTCCATGCCTTGACAGGTCAGAGCCAAGTCTGGTCCAAGGAGGACCCAAGGGGGTACCTCTGGGGTACCGGCATGTCCCTCAAATGTTCAATCAGATTGGGATCTGGGATATTTGAAGGCCAAGTTAACGCCTTGATCTCTTTGTCATGTTCCTGGGGTGATTCCCGAGCAGTGACTGTGGTGTGGCATGGTGCAAGTGCCGTCGCCATGAGGGGGGTTATTTTGTCTTCAATGGTGTTCGGGTTGGTGGAGCGCGTCTAGTAGGATCCACATGAATGCCAGGACCCGAGGTTTCCCAGCAGAACACTGCATTGTAAAAGGATGATCACTGTTGTTCCCTTCGACCCGCCAATGGTTTTAATGTTTTGGTTGATTGGTGTATGTCAATGAGCAAGAAAAAAAAACAACATAATTTTGTCAGGGCGCAACCAATCAGAAATTATTTTTTCTGTGGCCATAAATATATATATTTTTTTTATTTTTGTGAATTATATACGTTCATTGGCACATTCGTAATCACCAGACGCACATTTCCCCAATAGAAATAATCATCCATAAGCTAACACAAGGAACCCTCTGATTTTTATTATGATTGCCCAAACTATTTTCCCAGACGGCTTTTCAATTTCCTATTAGTGAATGCCGGCATTAATTCCTGCTTGATAGACAGTAGGAGTCGAATGCAGAGCCCATGGGGAGGAATGGGTCTTTCTGTTCAAGAGATGCCATGTCTACTTCTGTATCCTGCCAGTGCTACCCGTTCCATGTTAACATTTAAATTGCTACCTCGCTGCAGGCCCAGAGATGAGCAGAAATGTCATTGTGTGATGACAAACAAACAATGCCTCTACCCTATCTTGATTCGTCTCTTTATTGGACAAAAAAGCAGAAAGGTCCATTTGCATTTTAGAGAAACGTGGGCTAGAAAACCTCGGGCGCACACAAAGAACTGCCGGTGTGACGCTTGGAAATGTGACATCGTGCCACAAATAAAAGTCAATCCCTCAAAGGCTACATGCTTTTCGCTCTTGCTTTCTGTGAACAGTCTCTCGCACGCACGCACACAAGCCCAGCGGCCATTCGTTGTTTGAGCAGCATGTACCCATCAAATCCTACCTCCCCTCCCATCCCCGCAACCTCTCTCTCCGAGCGTATATCACAGGGCTGACAGACAGCGCTGGGGCCGAATCGCTCCCTCAGCTGTGGAGGTCTGCTCTGGTGAGTAATACTGATCTGTGTGCCATCAGCCACCGTTGGCTTCACTTCCACTCCGCCTAGTGAGAAACCAGCTTTACTGCAAAGGTCGAGAAACAATTTATTTTCTACCATTTGCAACACCAAAGGTAGCACATTATTAAGGCGGCTGACCTGATGGTACACATCTGTGAAACTCTTTCACATAACACCACAGGATTTGTTTTTCTCAGTTTAAATCTAAAACCAGACAGCAGACACTGAAGCTGCAACGGTTCAATATTGGAGCTTAAATTGCCTTCACAGAGCCTCTTGGCTATCTGTAGACAAATCAAGCAGACGTACCATTACAGTAAGGTAAACAACGTCTCATATAACTTCATTAAAGGTAACTACCATTTATGGGCTATAATCCCTGCAAGCGTCTTACTCCGTGATTCCATTTGTTTCAGAAAGCAACAGCGATCAGATGTGTAACTGCAGGGCGTATGGAGGAGAGCTAATCCAGGAATGTTTATTAACTTAGCAATTGTACTTTTATGAGCTTTCAGCAGCAAACATAACTAGACTGTTGCAGCCACTGAGCTCCACCCAGGACTCGGCCTAAATGAGCGCTGTCTGAATTGCAGCGATTCACTTAGCGTGCCTGGGAAGATAATGTTTAATCTGTAAGAGAAAAGATGTTAATCTGTTATTTATGTTGATGACTGGCAGTCCCAGCTGGATCTGCTTTGCTATTCATAGAGTTGAGACCGAGTCTCCTCGCCTCAGCCTGTTCCACAGGCCGTTAAGGGTGTGATTTACATGCACAAGCCATTGCCCTGCTCAAATGCAGCGTGTGTGTGTGTGTGTGTGCGTGCGCGTGCATGCATGTCGATGCCAGGGAGAGAGAGGTTGTGTGTTTGACCTAGTAGCTCCGCATGTGTGCAGTGTGGAGATGGCTTTCAGCACAGAGGCAAATGCTTTCTTCACACATTTTCCCTCATCACATGAACCTCTGGTTCTCAGCTCCACTGCTGATCCATCACTTTTATTGTGAAAGAAAAAGAAAACCACCCACATTTCCTACAAATCTGAGGCGACTACCTGCAGTGTGTTCGGATGCTAAAGCTCAAGACCTTGCTGTAAGTCTGGCAGACATTTCTCTGCACAACAATCTAAGAAGCGGGTTATCTCTATTGATTTATCTTTCTCAATTTCCTATGGAATCAGCTTTGCTCTGCAAGGAATTTTATTTTGAAATGCTGGCCCCTGTGAGATACATGTTTTGGGGGATAACCCCGACTCTATCTAGCCACGTTCTAACACGCCGCCTACAGCATCACCAGACTCTGTCTAGGGAAGGTTCACACACAGGTCATATACCGCACATAAGAATGATGCAATCTCTGTCTTGTTTTACCTGGGAATCTTTTTTTCCCACCGGGCCATGATGGAAGATTTCCAGATATTTCACAAGCTAGAATGTCTCGTCTGGAAAAACAGCCCGAACATTTGTGGGCTCAGTTGCATGAGAGATGGAAGGTCATGTTTCCCAGATGAGAGGTTAACAGGCTGCAGAGTCCGCTAGCTGATCTCTCAACATGACAATGGAATATAGAGTTTATTATTTCACTCCTGCAGCTGCTTAAATTTAGAATTTATTATTCATGCCTGCAGCTAAGCACAGGAACACAATAATCAATTCACACAACTCATGCATTCACTCATGTTGTGCCTCATAAGTCTGTCGGATTAACTTTCTTCTGT